GGGTTGTTTCCAGGTTTTACCTATTGTAAATAGTGCTGCAATAAACATAGGGGTACTGGTGGTCTTTTGAATCAATGTTTTTGTGTCCTTTGGGTAGATCCCTAGGAGTGGAATTGCCGGGTCATATGGTAGCTCCATTTTTGTAGACTGAGGAACCTCCAGACAGCTTTCCATAGTGGTTGGACCAGTTTGCACTCCCGCCAGCAGTGTAGGAGAGTTCCTTTTTCACCACATCCTCGCCAACATTTGCTGTTGCCTGTTTTTTTGATATGTGCCATTCTTGCTGGTGTAAGGTGGTATCTCAATGTGGTTTTCATTCGCATTTCCCTGATGATAAGGGATGTTGAGCATTTTTTTCATAAGCCTGTTGGCCATTTGCATTTCCTCTTTGGAGAAGTGTCTTTTGAGTTCTTCTGCCCATTTCTTGACTGGATTGTTTACTTTGTTTTCGTTGAGTTGTGTGAGTTCTTTGTATATCTTTGTGATCAGTCCCTTATCAGTTGACAGGAGTGCAAAGATTTTTTCCCAATCAGTGGGGTGTCTCTCTGTTTTGGTTAACGTCTCTTTTGCTGTGCAGAAACTTTTCAGTTTGATGTAATCCCAGGTGTTTATGTTTTTCCTTGACTTTCTTTGCCTTGGGTGATGAGTCTTTAAAGATGTTATTGTGATGTATGTCTTGTAGTGTTTTAGGAAGTGGCTTTCTTACAGTCACACTGTTGGTTAAGCATGTAGGCATAGTGAGTACTAGAGTCACTGACTCTGTCTTGTGCTCTTTTACTTCCTGCCACCTGATTTCTCCTGTGCCCCCTCCTGGATCAAGGCTGCTTCTATCTTTTGAATTTCTGATAGAAATCTTACAATAACAATATTAACACCACCATGAGCACTTACTCTCTGCTAGAGACTGGGCTGGGGCTGCATTTTATACACATTGCCCACCTGCCTAGAAAACCCGAAGGGTATTCATAGTAGCCCTGTTTTACAGATAAGTGAACACAGTTGGAGTTAGTCTCTTGCCTCAGACCACACAATTTAGCAGCAAATAGCAGCTGACTGTAAAGCTGTCATTTCACTACTGGGCATTGTAGGCATTGTTCCTGTTCCCGGAGTAGATTTCCTGGGCTCCCACAGACTGAGGGTGTTAGGGCAACCTCTTCCTGAGTGCTCACAGAACTCATCTCATGGGGCTTAAAAAACTGGGTGTAGTTGGTATGGCTTAGCAGAATGAAGGGAGGAGGCATGGAATTTTCCCTGTATAGCAAAATTAAGGGAATGGTTGGATAAACACACTTGTGACCCCAAACTTATTTCTGCAGGGATGATACCTAATAATGAAATGAGTGAATTTTAGGATTGTTGCCGGACTGTGATAGGAATGTACATTTTGCTAATTTAGTTATAACCAGGGTTTCTGGTTCTGGCTTTGATTTCTTTTTGCATGTGACTTTTATTGCAGAAAGCTTCTCTCAGCCTGTTCTCATTAGCTCCCAGATTAAACAAGAATCCCAACAGGAAGAGAGCAGATCCAAGAGACCAGGCCTTGCTCGTTCACACTGTGTATGAGGTTGGGTGTATTTATTCGATTTGATTTGTGTGTGTGTGTGTGTGCGTATGTGCGTGTATGTGTGTCCTCTTCTAAGAAAACTTAAAAATAACTTTCTCCCAACATGTGGGCATTTGGGGGCATGTTGCTGAGCAGGAGGGCTCCTCCCGCAATGTGGGCTGGTGGATGTGGGCTGCTCATCTGCTTGCAGAAGCCCAGCCCTTCCTTTTACGTGTTTTCCATAAAAGTCCTAGGAAGCCAAAGGGAGAGAAAAGGTGTCTGGTTGCCGAGGAGAGAACTCCAGTGTGGAGGACAGAGCAGAACCTAGGAACCAAGAACTGGGTCACTTGGGTTTGTCAGCAGGAAATCCATAGGAACTAACAACCAGGGCAGAGTGTGCCTGTGCCCATTTCACACACAGGAAGACTGAGATGCAAAGAGTAGAAAGGATGACCGAGTTACATGCCAGCCTTAGAGCTACATGGGCACCCTGGTGCCCGAGACCAAATATTAACACCCCAGAGGGGTAGATTTTTTTACCACGTGATCTGTACTTACTCCTGCCCTATGTCCTCACTCTAACATTCATTGGATTCCCTGTACAACAAAATTAAGTGGTGTTGTAGTTTGGAAGTATTTTTTAAAATGTTTTTTAGCCTAAACATCTATCTATTCACATGTCACAAATATTTATTGAGGACATACTATTTGCTTATCCATGTTTTAGGCATTGAGGACAGAGTAGTGAGTGAAATAACTAGAATCTGTATGGAGCCAGGTCTAGTGTGGGAGGCAGTTGTTAATCAAATAACGGTAGCTGTGGTGACCATGATGTGTGGACCAAGACAACATGTGGGATTTGAGGCTTGTTCTGGACTTGGGGCCTGCCTCATCTCTGTGGGGCCAGAAGTCTGGGTCGCTTCCCATCAGCTATTTTGTGCTTCAGTTGTTTTGGTTTTGAGCCAATGTATAGGAATTTTAAAATTGTTCTTTTAAATGTTCTCTCAAGCTCTGGTCCATTTTGCTGATCTTTCAGGGTTATATTTAGCATCCAACATGTGAGCTGTACCTACTTAATTCGTGTAACCCATGGGTTCGATAGGCACATCTTCCATGTTTTTGTCCAAATCAGTTTTCTTGCTTCTGTCCAATTCAAAGTCGCTTTCCAGCCTGGTTGCCCTTCACCATAGACCTCCATCTAAGAGACACTTAGATCCAGTCCAACTCTATTCATGGTGGTGATTAGCATTGCTTTTTGGATTCTTGCCTCCTTTCTTAACCATAAAATATTTAAATATCTGCCATGGACCAGGTCTTTCAGAGTCTGGGGTGTATAATCAGTCTTGGCTAAGGACTTAATTGACATAAAAGTGTTCTCTTAATTAGTTTCTATCTCAGGCTTCAAATCTCTCATATCCACATTTCTCCGACCATTCTCTTTAGGAGGAAAGATAGAATCAAATTAGCGATTGAGTCACCCTCTTCACCAGCCTTCTCTCAAAGCTGTATACCACGACACCTATCAAACCACATTTCCTTTCACAGGTGTATTTTTATGGGAACAGAAGTCAGAGTAGATGGTAGAGGGAGCATAGGGGGAGATGATAAATCAACTTCTCAAAGTGTGCCCTGGGAATATCACATTATTTTCATAATAACATGTTGTTTGCCTTTCTCTCTCACTCTTCTCTCGCTGCTGTGTATAGTGTTTTCCAGTAACTGCAGATACTATGATGTCACAACATATTAGATGCAGAGGCAAAATTTAAAATTTTGCTCCCTTCTATTAAGCCAGACCTCAAAGAAATTTATGAGAGATGAAAAACTCTGCTTACTAAGGTTTTTTTTATTTTTTATTTTTTTGCTTTGGAAACTATGTTTCTTTTGAAATATCACTAATGTTACTATAATAGGCTTCTTATTGATGGTTTTAGTGAATTAGTATTTCTGTTTTAAGTTATCATATGATAAATATTGACAGTAATAACTCATAAACAAATGTCCTTTGGTATATTTAATGATTTTTTTTAAAGATTTATTTATTTATTTATACAAGCACTGGGTACAGTCAGAAGTGTGGGAGAGCGAGAGAATTCACCAGAGCCAGAGCGAGGAACAGAACAGGCAGAGTAACGAAATACATTGCTGAGGGGAGCAGTGGGCAGCAGGAGAGGTCTGCAAGCCATGTGGGACCCTTGCCTGGTGGCTGGGGATCGAACCGGTGCTGCAGAGGCTGCGGGCAGCTTCGCAGCCCAGTGCTCAACCGCTGCACCACCGGGGAGGCCCTTAATGATTTTTTAGGAATATGAAGGGGCTCTGAGTCCAAATAATTTGATAACTGCTGAGCTAGAGGGTAAGGGAACACCTAGGTGTTATGAGAATCTCAGTTATTTAAAAATGAGACAAAGCTCAAATCCATGTCATTTCCTGATTCAGATATTTAGTCTGCCTGAAAGTGTCAGCTTCATAGGATGAGATTCTTTTGCAACTATGGAAATGCCTTCTCTTTCTTGGAGAAGTACTGGGGGGATCTCCTTGTTACCATTTTTTAGAGGTATGTGAGAAGGACTGCTTCTAAAGCTCCCCAAGGGTCAGGAGTAGCGCTGCTGGACCCTGGGCAGGATGTGAACACAATCTGTGGAGGCTGGTTCAAGTCTCAGTCCAGATTCCTTAAGACAATTGGTACATGGGTGTTCCCAATCCACCTGCTGTCTGGACTCGCCTCCCTCTATAGGGATCATAAACTGGGCTTCTTCTTAAGAAGTTTAGGGCCTCCCCTGGTGGTGCAGGTGGTTGAGTGCAGCACTGTGAAGCTGTCCGCAGCCTCTGCAGCATGGGTTTGATCCTGGCCCGGCTGGCGAGAGTCCCACATGGCGCTGCAGACCTCTCCTGTCGCGCCCGCTGCTCCCCTCAGCAGTGTATTTCTTCAGTCTGCCTGTTCTGTTCCCCACTCTGTCTCTGGTGAATCCTCTCACCCTCCCACGCATCTGGCCTGTACCCCAGTTCTTGTATAAATAAATAAATAAATCTTTTAAGAAAAAAAGAAGTTTAAGGAGGAAGAGCTGAGTGTCAGAAGACAAATGTCCCATGAACCCTGGGTGGCAATCGCAGGCCTGATGTGCCAGGGGGTGAGTAGTGATCCTGACAAGATATGGAATTGCGAATGTGCTTAGCCCCTCTAAAAGCTCAGCTCTCTGCTCAACACTATCCTCCCTTTATTCCACAATTAGATTGGAATCTGCAGTTCTGAACAAGTAAAATCTTGTGATCGTCCACCCCTGGTTTCCCTGAGACTCTATTAAGAGTCTCTGCAGCTGGCAGCCAGGGGTTTCAAAGGTCACCCCAATTGGGCGGATTAGAACAACCAATCTCCCTAACTGGGTGAATTTGAATGCAGGCGGAAGGCAAGTTGCAACATCTTCAAACAGAGTCAGACAAAGGTCCCTTAACTTTTTTCAGTCTGGCCCTGCATGCCTCAGCTGTTTGGCTCTCTCCTTCACTATCTTCCTTCTGAAGCAGACCTTGGACAGGAATCTCTGCAGTACAGTGGTAAAGAGTGGCTGCCCAGGCATCTCGACTCATGTGAGAGCTGCCCGGGGAAGAGACCACGGTAAGGGTGACAGTCCTCCGGTGTGTGAGCCTACCCCACTGTTGGCTCCCGGGGACCAATGCAAGTCAGCCTGGCACAGCTCACAGCGAAGGAGCAGTTTTCTCCAGGATTAGCAGCGATTAGGGAATTTGTCAGGATGTGAGTGAGAAAGTGGAGTTGTCATTGCCTGGGGCACTTGAACCTGCGTGTTAGCTGCCTCTGAAGTGTGCTGTGGCTGGTGGGTGGGTGCAGGCAGATTGTGCTCCCTGGGAGCACTTCCTTTTGGGAAATGTTTGCTCTTTCCAGGATTCCCTGCTGCCTGATCAGGTGCTTAAAGACAATCACTATTTAAAATGTATGTGTTTTGGATTGGGATGTGGGTAACTGGTTTCTCTTTACTTGTTGTGCCATATAACTTGATCTCTGATTTTAAACATTTTTTTTTTGAGTCTCTTTGCTTCAGAATTGCACTCTTTTGACCTGTAGATATTCTCTATAGGACAAAGTGTTCCTTTCTGGTTCCAAGAGACTGTGTTTGAATGATTAATAAATCATGTCACTTGTAAAAACCTAATTTGGAGGTGAGCTTTGGCCCAAGGGTTTTGTGTGTGTGTGTGTGGTGGGGAACTGCTTCTAGCTCAGGGTCCACCCCTCATTTTGAAACCTCCTCCACTTTTCTCTTCTCTGTCCTTCGATCTGCATGTAAGTGGTATTGACGGAAACCCTCTGGATGGGTGTGTTTGATTCCTGACACTGAACCGGGCTCTTCCAATAGGGAAACTTTTTCAGAAGTTACCCAGTCTCCCTGGTGTTCTTGATTGGAATTTGGTCTCCAGGCTATGTGAAGAATTAGAGGGAAACAAAAATAGTTTGGTTTATTATTATTATTTTTATTAGTCCATTCCGAATATGTCAGTAACCAGTAACTGAATGTAGAGATGGAATCTGTTTATGCTGCTGATGGCAGTAGGCAGGGTGATGGGCTGAGGGGAGCTCTTTGGCTTGTCCTGCCAGCCTGGTACTGGCCCCCCTCCCTGCCTCTGTGATAGTTCAGTAACCAGGCCTCCTCCCCTCCTCACCTCACTTCCCTAAAGGGGACTGTTTCCTTGCTGTATTAATTTGCTGGACCCATTTCTTAAGACAGATACCCCTGAGGGATGGATGACTTCTGTGTTCCATGTTCTTGGATACAATTCCAGTGAGATGGTGGTGAGGTGGGCACACTCATACCCACCTGGGGGAGGGGTTTAAATTGGTGTTATCTTTCTGGAAAGCAATTTGGCAAAAAAAAAATTCAGGAAAAAAATTCATTTCTTTCCTTTCCTGAATAATCTACGTTCAGAAATGTTATATTGGGGGGAAAAAAAAAAAGATGCAGGTCAACATTTATTTATGAGAATGCTAATCACATTATTTATAGCAAAAGAACTAGAAAAATAATTCATTTAAACAGAAATAGGTAAAAGAAACAGCTAAATGTCAAACTGGTGATAATTGATTAAGTACAATGGAATATTGGGCAGTTATATGAATGAATATTTATAAATAAAATAATGATAGGAGTTTACTGACAATAAAATGCTTAACCAAAAATAAGTAATATTATGGAAAGTTTCAAACATAGAAAATTAGAAAGAATGATGACATGAGTACCTCTAGGACCCCTCCCCCAGGTGGGTATGAGTGTGCCCACCTCACTACCATCTCACTGGAATTGTATCTTTCTCTTTAAAAAGTTTCAGATTGGTTAGTTTTTAAAATAACATCTTAAAAAAATAAAAAATAAATAAAATAACATCTTGTTTTTAATTTGTCCTCTTGGTTCCTTGTGGAGACCAGACAGTCTCCATTTGTATAATTGTCATTTGTCCATCTGCTGGGAGCCCACTTTATCTGTAGGGCTGTTTTCTTTTTAGGATACTTTTTCAAGTATCCTAGTCCTTTGGTTTTGTTACAAAAATTATATTATAGATTATCATCCATCTTTTAATGTTGTCCATGGTGTGGTTTGTGAACAGTCTTAATTATATATATATATTTTAATGTAGTTAATTTTATATGTAATTTATATGTATGTGGTAGCAACTCTCAGCCTTTTTCCTTGTTACCTGGACCTCAGCCCCCTGCCACCAGCCAACTCTTGACTGCTGACAGAAAGCTAGAAGGCCCAGTGGTCAAAGAATAGGGACTCTGGGCTTCAAATGACAATTCTTTCCCCTACTAAACACCATGACTTTAGGAAAATTTCTTATTCTCTTTGTTCCTCACTCTCTATTCTATAAAATGGGGTTAATAAGATCATCTGTGCTGTTGTGAAGAGCAATTGAACTTCATTATAAAGTGCTTAGATGTGCTTTATATTTTGCTATTATTGTTACTGCAGTGACACTGCAGTCTTATCATCAGGAAAGGAATTTTGTTTGCAAAGTTAATACCTTATCGGTGGAAGAGAAAGCTGGATTTGTCAACAGGGGCGGTGCATGTTGCAAACAAATCAGGTCTTTGTTACTTTAAGTTGAACTTTCAAAAAATTTATCTCCATTTTGCTTCTGTTAGATGTTACTCATTTTATTTTTTAATTTTTTTTTTTTTTTGAAACTTAAAGGAACCTGGACCCTGGTAGCACTCCCCCCCATTCCATTCCAGTTGTATTCCGCTTGCCTCTTGGTATTATCCTTAAGTTTTTATTTATTCATTTATTATTGAGGAGCTAATATCCCAAAACAAGAAATACAGTATCAGGCAAGGTCCACTCAGGGGATCAGAGACAACATCAGTGCTGTACTTCCCAGGAGGATCCTCAAATCTCTGAGGTTCTCACAATTTCCCCCACCTTCCCCTCTCTCTCTTTGTCCCTTTCTCCCTCCGCCCTCCATCAACTCAGAGCCCTCACTGCATCTATTAATGTCTGCTAGTTTTTTATAAGTATTTACTTTGTAGAGTTGCTTGTTGTGTAAATGTCCAGTATTTATGTCATTCTAGCTTGCTTTACTACATATAATTCCCTCAAACTCTCTCCATTGTGCTGTAAGTACATTTCATCGTCCCTTATGACTGAATAGTATTCTATTGTGACTATACCACAGCATCTTGATCCAGTCTTCTATTGATGGGCATTTAGGCTGCTGCCCTGTCCCAGCTGTTATAAAATAGTGCTGCAGTAAGCACTGTAGAGCATGTAGATTTTGTGCGATGGTTTCATATTTTTTGGATAGTTGTCCAAGAGTGGGATTGCTGGGTCATTTCCATTTTCAGTTTTTTAAGGTAAATACAGATTGTTTTCTATAATGGTTCCACCCATTTGCATTCCCACCATTGATGTAATAGGGTTCCTTTCTCTCTGCATCCTCTCCAGTACTTATTGTTAGGCATCTTTTTCATATCCACCTTTCTCAATCAGTGTGAGATTATATCTCATTGTGGTATTAACTTGTATCTCTCTTATTAGAAGCAATGATGAACATTTTTTCATATATCTATTGGTCTTCTGGATATCCTCTTTGGTGAATTGTCTGTTCATATCTGCCCAATTATTAATTGGGTTGTTCACTTTTCTATTTTTAAACCGTCTAAATTTTTATGTATTTTAGATATTAAATATTAACCCCTTGTCAGTTATATATTGTGTGAATCTTTTCTCCCATTCAGCAGGATGTCTTTTTAATCTTATGTTCTCCAATTATTTATTTTTTTTTTTATTTTACTGACCATAGGGATCAAGTCTCCAAGAACATCTTTGTCATTGATGTTATGGAGCATATTGCCAATGTTTTCTTCTTTATTTACTGTTGCAGGCTTTATATCAAAATTTTTAATTCATTTGCAATTTGCTTTTGTGTACAGAGTTAGAGAGTGATCCAACATCATTTTCTTATGTGTGGCTTTCCAGTTTTCCCAGCACTGTTTGTTAAAGAGACTCTCCTTTCCCCATTGTATTGTCATGGCTGCTTTATGATAGATTAGGTGCTAATATATACCTAATATTTTATTTCTGGGCTTTTTATTATGTTCCATTGATCCATGTATATATTTTTGTGCCAATACCATATTGTTTTTAATACTGTTTTTTATAGTAAAGTTTGAAGTCAGGTGATGTGATACAGAAGTATCTCTACTATTTTTCTCAGGGATTGTTTTTGTTACTTGAGGCCTTTTGTGGTTCCATATAAATTTCAATATTTTTTGTCTAATTTATTTGAAAAATATTGTTGGTATTTTGATGGGGATTGTCTTAAATTTATATATCACTTTAGGCAGGATAGTAATTTTGATTTTCCCCATCCATGAGCATGGGATATCCTTCCATCTCCTTGTGTCAAGTTCTTTAAGAAAGTCTTGTTGTTCTAGTTGTAAAGGTCCTTCTCTCCTTTAGTTAGGTTAATTATAAGATATTTGATTCTTTTTGAGGCAACTATAAATGGAGTAATTTTATTCATTTGTTTTTCTTCTCATTCATTGTATATGTAAGTGCTGTGGATTTTTGTATGTTAATTTTATATGTTATTAAGTTTAAACAAATGAATTACATGCCCCAGATACCACTATTTATTTGTGTCAGGTTTGCAAGTTATAGCATAGGATTTAAATGAGAAGATGCCCAGAAAATAAAAACAGGGGATATTATATCAGTTTGTAGTACATGTTTATTTAGTAGACATTTGTCACACACCTGTGATAGCCCAGACAGCATAGATTCTGTGGTGAATAAGAAGTGATCTCTAACCTTTAGTTGTCCCAACCAGGTGATTCTCCCATCCAGACTTGGAACCTGGAGCAGGGATACTTAGGTTGCATTCTAGGTGGTGGCTCAGGTATCCAGTGACTTCAGCAGAGCTCTAATCACTGGGCTCTTTTCCATTGCTACCTGATTTCCCAAGCTGGTTCTCCAGCCTTTCCTATAGATTTTGGGAGCTCTAAAGATGGGGTTATAGTGTGGGAACCCATTTTTCCAACATACCCTTTCTCCATTTATGAGAGCCAGAGTCAGTTTCTGTAGCTTGCAGCCAAGAATTCAGATTCACAATTCTATTTCTGAAATCAGTGCTAAGGAAGACCCTTTGTTTCAGCTAACCTTGCCAGTCCTTGGTAACATCGGGAGCCTGAGTTATTTTTGCCCAGGTATTTTTGCCACATCAGGTATTTCTGCCAGTGATGCCATCATTTTGCTTTGGGTGAATGGCTTACCTTTTCTGGGCTTGTTATAAATGGAAGAGTTAACATGAATAATAAATTTCCTTTTCTTTCAGTATTACTAAGATATAATTGATTTACAGCACTGTGTAACTTTAAAGCGTGCAGGCATAATGACTTAACTTACACGTTTTGTGGAATGATTACCACAGCAAGTTTAGAAAACATCCATCACTGGATAATCTTAAAACATTTCTTTCTCTGACATTCTGTAATCTTTGAGCCTTTTTCAAGTATGTCTTCAGATAAACAATTTCCTCCCAGGCCGCACTTCCATTCCCCAATTCAACTTCAGACTCAGCTCAGTTCATCCAGGTTCCTGCCATATTAACACCAAACTGCTTTCCATTCTTGGAATATGGACCCTGTTGTTCCTTAGCCTGTGAGCTCTCACAGTTGAAGCAAAAGCACAAGTGCCTAATGGAGATGTTGGTTCTGAAGCGTCGCTGGCTATTAAGTACTGAATTCAGATACCTCTTGTAAAATCTTGAAGATCCCTCCAGATTCTCTCTTTTTGTCCCAGCTATCCCTTCCCTAGAAGTTCTTGGACTAGTTTTGAGGAAGCCCACGTATTACCCAGGGAGCTGGTATTTAGGGTACACTGGGCATCACCCGGCAAGTGTGTGGAAGGCAAGAGCTTCTTATACCCAGGGAGGAGCTCCATGTGTACCCTGACCTAACAGGGCACCTGCCCCCAGAATAATCCACAACACAGTGGTCTCACCAGCATGCTGGGCCTTCCACTGTTTACATGAAAGCAAGGGTTGTGTTTTTCTCCTCTGACCTGCTCTTCCTTCCTGTTTGCAGACCATGGGGGATGTCAAGCTGGTTGCTTCAACGCACATTTCCAAAACTTCTCTCAGTGTGGATCACTCAAGAGTCAGCTCCATGCCCCTGACTGAGGCCCCTGCTTTCACCTTGCCACCCCGGAACCTCTGCATCAAAGAAGGAGGCACCGCCAAGTTTGAAGGGAGGGTAAGAAGTGTCGCTGATTTGGGGACTGGACTGGGGGTGTCATTCCTTCTCAAGGCCTTTCCTTTATGGTAGAAGGCCTAGTTTTCTTTTAGACCCACACTGAAAGTAAATATGTATCAACTTGACCTATTTCTTTCCTTTAGTCTGTGTTGGAGAACTCCAGCTGTGGGGATGACACAGATGTTTTGCTGCTAATGTAGGTCATGTTCTGGATATGTACTTCCTGATTATGGAATGGGCTGTGGCAGAGAGAACACAGCTTGGATTTAAATATATACCTATAAATCTACGTAATTGAGAACTAATATTTCTCTCACCCCTCAAGGAGTATTTAGTTTACTAATCCTCTCGTGTTTCCACTTGTTAAGTGCAGAGAAGTAGGATGAGTAATTGGACCCCTTACTCTGTTCTGTTAACTTGTACTAATGAATATTAGTCTCTTGCCCTTTCTGGGTAGACCTGCAAACAGACATGATAATTCCTTGTCTATCTTATACTAGAAAGGAGAAGATAGGAACATTGAAGAATAGCTGTAAGAGTATCTGAAGTTATGCCCAGTTGGCAAGATGTGTAGTAAGCTGCTGACTCAGGCCACTACAAGTCCAATCATCTACTTGACATGGAGATACATTTGAGAGTCAGGGAGATTTGCAAGTAATATCTGTCTTGGAATTAAACTCACGGGCTCTAGGAAATGCTTTAAAGCTAGAAATCTTTGATCTGAGTGAAAGAAAAGAGATGTGATAAGGAATGCATAGGTTGCAGTGTGAATCTGCAATTTCAGAGCAGGCCCCTGAAAGCTTGTGAAGGAAGAGGCTGGGCACATGGCTCTCCTGTGTGGGCCACTGGGCTACTGGGTCATCTGGACAGTGTGCAGGGGCTGCACAGTGCTTTGTGCTCCTCACATGCCTGTCTAGTTAAGACAGTTTACTAGTCGATCAGACAGAACAGCCTTGTTACGTCTTTTACTTGAAGAAGATTATGGGGGAGTGTTGGTGGTCTGGGGAGTCTGTTTCTTTACTTTGGGTACTACCATGGTGAGGGCTCTTCTCTGTTGCCCAATCCTGTGCCCCTCCATCCCATAGCCCCAGAGCTGGCAAGAAAGAAGCAATAGGAAGACTCCCTGGGGACTTAGAAATGGCTTAGACAGCCAGGGAAAGGGATGGTACTGATACACACACAGCATAGATGGATCCTGGAAACATGTTATGTGAAAGAAGGCAGATACAAAGGGCCACACATTGAATTATTCCATTTACATGAACTGTCTAGAGTAGGGAAACCTATAGAGATAGAAAGTATTTGCCAGGGGTGAGGGAGGAAGTGTGGGAAGCAACTGCTAATGGCTGCACACCTTTATGAATGTTATAAAACATTGAATTTACACTTAAAATTAAAAATTAACTTTGAAAAAATGGTTTTACAAAACTGATCTCACCCTCCTGCCTCCTCTCAGGGCAGACTCGTTTCTCAAATTCAGAGAAACATGGAGAGGAAGAGTTGCTTCCCTATAGCATGGGGAGGCCTTTGCTTCCTTTGCTGACCCTGGAGGTCATGAAAGAGACTTTGAGAGATTTGATTTGGAACCCTCCTAGAATGAGCACTGGCAGGTGTCAGCACCCAAGCACTCTGCTGCTTGGTCACTCCCTGGCAGACAGGTCAGAATGTCCATGAATGCAGATTTCCTTGTCTGAGAAGAAAAAACTAGCTGTTTCTATATTTCTTGTTGGCAGATATGTGATAAGAAAATGAGTTGTAGGGGGAAAAAGTACTTTATAAATTTTAAAGAGAACAATAAATATTTTTAATGAGGTGAAATTCACATGTCATAAATTTAACCATCTTAAACAATTCAGTGGTATTTAATGTACTCTGTGTTGACTGCAGAATTCTTCAAGTATCCTTTCAGCATGAAAAAATTTGGCTTATATTGATGAAATAATTGAATTTATATATTAAATGTGGACCAGGTATCAAAATTAATGTGTTCCTTTTAGTAGCAGCCTGTAGAGCTACATTACCACTCACCACCTGCATGGAATCAACCCAGAACACCTTGCAGGCATGCTAGCAGGTAGTGGGCACAGAATAAAGACAGTTCTGGAGTGATGTTAGGCAGAGTGGCTTCATCTGAAAGCTTTTGGGGAGACATGCGGAAGGACAGGCCGCTGCAGAAAATGCTTTGCAAACAAGCACACTGTAAAAGTGTATTATCACTGCAACAGAGGACACAGAACAATGTTTTTTACCCAGGGAGAGTCACCTCAAATGATTTCAGAATAAGAAAGCTGGCAGTTTTGATACCAGAGATGAAGTTCATCAGGAGGTGTTTTTGACCCTGTGCCCCCAGCGAAGGTGGTGCAAACCCAGAGTGACAGAGGTTGGGAGCAGGAATTGCTAGTTACAAAGGCAGAGCTCCATACAGGCTCACCCATTGACCACAGTCCATGGCCTCTGCCTCTGGTGCATGTTAACCTTCTCTACTGTGCCCACCTGAGCTGGCTTACAGCTGACCCCTCTCTCCAGGCCCTGGGCCACCTCCTGTCTTGCTGTCAGTTTCATGGCAACCTCAGGACCTCAGGTCTGCAGTAATTGGTCTCTTGCAGGATCTCTCATGAGTGAGTGATTTTTAAAAATTGAACCTTCAAACTACTTCTTAGGCCTAAACTGATGCCGGTTGCAGTCAGCAGGAATCCTTCCCTTTCTTACAGCTGCCCTCAGAAGCTCTGCCTACCTTCCTCCCCTCCACTCTCTTCCCCTCTTTAAAGTTGCCACCACCAGCTGGAGTCCTAAAGTCTGGGCGTGGAGGGCACTGAAATGTCCTGGGTTCTTCTGAAGGAGGGCACAGTGACCCTCCCATTTCTGTAGAGACAACGTGGATGGCGTGGCTATGAGGAAGTTATAAAGGTTGGTTTCCCATTACCTTTTAAAACTGCTACTTAAAAGTTGGTTCAAACTTATGCTCTATGTTTTTATCCCTGAGAGAGGCACTTGCCTGGCCTGCCTCATTTTCCTTTTTATGCCTATTTTTAGGCCAAGGACTTAATGAATCCCCTCCTCTAATAAAGCCCCTCTTTCTAGCAAGAAAATTTTGGTGACATTAAAGTGGGACCACAGTGCTCTTGTGGTTTTTCTTTTTCTGAGATGTTCCAAGTTTTGAGATGTTTAGCTCTGTGGCCTCAGACCCTCATGTTTATTAGGACTTTTCTTTGTGGCAGATACTTTGGACAGCCAACACCATTGCCAGTCCCCTTCGCCCTTGTCCTTTTCTACTTTAGATGCCACTCTAAAAGCTTTCTTTGCAACTACGGGTGGCTCAGTGAGACATTCTGGCAGAAGTTCATTAGGGAGTTTCTGGGAAAACTCTTGCTTCTTAATTATATATATATATATATATTTGATGCTCTCATATTCTATTCCTCTCCTGCTTCCTGCCTTGGATGCAGATGTGCTGCCTGAAACTCAGGTAGCCAAACTAAAACCAGGAGACAAAAAACCAGAACACTAACAATTGGTTGAGGTGGGTGTGGGTGGAGAGTACAGAGGAAGCCTAAAGACCAAGAGCTATAGGATAAAAATCCTAAGACTTAAAGACTTTCCCAGATAAGATATTTGGCTACATTTACATAAGAAATCTTATGAAAAATATTCCTACTTGATAAACACCTAATGACATGCATGTGGAGATAGTGCCCCTTTAAATGATGTGAATAAATAGGGAGAAGGCACAGTGCAGAGAAAAATGTAAAAATGCTTTACATCCTTGCCAAATGCACTGCTAGTGATGGAAGTGCTTTATTCTGAGTGGCATGTGGTCCTGCAGTTAAAAGCATTCTACAAGAATTCTTTCCTCCCTGGCTGTGGCCATCTGGCTTGAACCAACAGGGTCGAGGGTTTATGAGAGGAAGTCAACCATATGGGGTTTATTGATAAATCAGTGCTATTATTGAAAAACTGCTGTATGATAAGGGTCTTCTGATTAGGCCAAAACTACCTCCCTTTTCTTGGCTCTGCCAGCCCAAATATTGAGGAAATTATATTTTCAGGAACTTATAAAACTCTGGCTCTAGATCTCATCAGTACCACCTTTAAACCCAGGCAACGTGAGCCCAGGTTTTTGCAAGTCCTGTTCCTTCATCGGTCTGTACCCTCACCCCAGAGCAGGGCATCTGTCTGCCAAGGTCTATGCCCACAGAGCTGCATCATTCTTCCAAGTTCAGGCACCAGGGCCCTAGAATTCTAAACTAGAGCCCACTTCCGAGGCCAGTCTGGGACTTTTCTTATGAGGTGGCCAGGCCTAAATGGGGTGGTCAGGGGCAGTAGTTTTCTTAGGAGACAGCATGGTAGATGGGACTGTTGCCTGCCCACATGTCAGGATGGAAGGAGGGTGGGAAGAGCAGTAAGCTGGGCCATGTCACTGCCTAGTGAGCGCTGGGTCCAGGGCCTCTGGGAGCCTCCATGCAGAGAGAGCCAGCCCCACAGATGCCAGGGGCTGCCTGAAACTCTCCCAACTCTTCTGTTGCCCATGTGGTACCTGGAGTACCTGTGGGCTGCTCCCCCACCACAGTCAAGTATGAAAGTAGTGAAATGGTGGGAAAAATATCAAAATGACAGGACATCTTCCTCTCTGCCCTGGAATTCATTCTTATCAGAAAAAGCAAATATGATGACAGGGCCTGGCTGTCCTGTGAATCAAATGAGCTGATATTTCAGTGCCTCTTGAGCAGTACGGCCCAAAGGAAGTTTCATTTCAGACAAGGGGTCTTGGTGTTTACTGAAGTGGGCTTCACAATAAAGGGGCAGCCTGCTTTCTCAGTTTCTTCTCTCACCAACAGTAGTATGCTCCCCCCACCACCTTCTTTCCTTTTGCTTCTAACTCAGAAACAACCACCATTCTGAGAAATTTGAAAGAAGCATCTGGTCTGCTCTCTGGCCCCCAGAGTCCTAACTGGTTTGGTTCTGAGAAAAGTTGTGCATATAAAACAATAAAATATGACAGT